AAGTGAGTTACTGCAAAGCAGAGACTCCTGGTGCCCCCTTGGCTGACAATCAGGTGCCCTGGGAACGGCGCAGCTCCTCTTGCACGAGGAGGTGGAAATGCTGCAGGATTCAAGCTGCAGCTTGGCTACAACATCCCACATTCCCCATCCCCAGTGCTTTCCAGGCAGCTCCTTTTGGCATCCGTCTGGACTGAGCCTCTGCTGATGGAGAGGGGCTGAGGCAGAGGGACCAAAAACAAGCCTTTCCCTTCCAACTATTGCAATTCCCATTGTTGCATCGCTGTGACTCAGCATCCTGGGTCTCCAGCAACAAGGAAAAGAAAACTCTCCAGGGCACTGGTGTGCCCATCACTTGTGTGCCCATTGCCCACACACACTTTAATCATCGTGCATCGCTCCCCGGAGCCAGGGTGCAGATCCCCACAGTGTGCCTGGAGTCAGAAGAAGAGAGGAGCAGAAAGAGAACTACGTCTTCTTGTTGTTTGTTCCATTGTTTTTGTTTTTTCTTTCTTCCAGAAACAATTACAACCCCCGAGTGCCGCCCACCCGCAGCTGCCCCTGGACACGGGGCGCATCCCTGCGTCCCTGCCGCGGGCGCAGCGCCCTCCCCGGGAGCAGCCGCAGGCGCTCCGGAATTCCGGCACGCTGGAATTCCGCATTGCCCGGTCCCTCGTCCCCGGGGCTGCCTGTATCCGGAGCTCTGGACAGGGAGCCCCGCGCACGCTGCTCTCCTCATGCCCTTGGAGAGGGCTCTTTTGGAGCCCCATGTGAGCCTGCACGCTGTTTGCTCGGCTCCCATGCTTTCAGTTCGCAGCCCTGATCAATTTTCTCCTTGTCTAAAGCTTTCAGACACTTCCCTGTTGCTCTTGTCTTGAACATGCCCCCCCTTTCTTTGCCACCGTCTTCTCCGCAGCTTTGCTCCTTGGTGATATATACTGCCTTCCTCCAGCAATCTGCACAGTGCGTTTCACCCACGTTTCAGGACTGCACAGGCAAAGTCCTGCCCTCGCTTTCACAGGGGCAGTGCGTGCTCTCAGAGCGCTCGCAATGCCTCTGCAGTGTAAAAGTTTGTCCCTGAGAGTTCACCTTGCAGACCTTGCTTCCCCATATGGTCAGCAACAGCTCATACGCTGTTATTTTTGCATTCTCAAAACTCATCCTGTTTACTTTGTGGCTTATGGTCACTGGCAAGGCTCCTATGCAGGTCAGACTTAAAACAGAATAAAATCTCCACAAATATCCTTGTCAGTTTTCCAAGTGACACACTTGTTGTGGCTGAAGTAACCCAAGAGGAGGCAGGAGCCATTCTGAAGCCAGGTATCCATAATGGTCTGACTCATTTAGACTAGGATGAAGCTGATTTAGGAAACCACAGTGTTTGTTGATCAAGTGACATATTAAGAAATCAGTCAGTCAGTTAAACAATAAACTGCTTACCCACCATTGTTACTCATCTCCAGTTATATCCTCCCAAATAAACAAATCTGCCTTCAGTTACTGTTTCTCACTGGCCCCAGTTGTGCTACATCCATAGCTGAGCCTGGACTTTGTGAAGTTTACCTTGGAAATCTGAGGCAAATCTCATCTTTTGCCTGGGCACAGGGGGCCAAAACTTCCCTACAATAATCCAGTTCATTCTGGCAACACGTGTTCAACCTCCTCTAAGCCAAACCAGTCTGCTTTATTTATCCTTCATTCCTCCGCTTACTCCAACTAAAAGCGCCCTGTCTTTGTACCTTGCTGCGAAGAACAGACCCAAAAACAGAGCAAAACAGAGACCCAAGTCATGTAAGTACCAGATTCACCAAAAAACCCCCTAGTTGTTGCACCGTGATGGAGACACCCTGCAATGAAGCAGCTGTGACAATGGCCCCGTAGTGGTGGCTGAGCACTGTGCAGCATTTTTATTATTTTAGTACTTTTCTCCCTGAAACTGGCTCACACACAGTGGATGGCCTCATTTCTTTTGAGAAACCTCTATTTAGCAACACACACAGAAAGACAGAGCTGGAAGATGTGATGACCTGACTTGTGACAACCTGTGTCATCATCATTATAGTTCCCCTTCATAACGTACCAAGCTCTGTCTTAAAAGCCACAGGGTATATTTGTCCTTCCTTTGCTATTTCGGAGGCCACTGCAGAAAACCACTCTGCAGCCTGCTCTGCTGGCTAGGATCTTTCTTCTAACTTCTTCTCACTAGCTTTCTAACCTAGAGATATCCGTGGAAATTTTAGACTAACTTGTGCTTTCCTTTTGGCTTAAATCACCCGCTCGTGCTGGATGAGCTTTGTGAGAGCCGAAAGCATGTGTCGCTTCTGCGGACTGTGGAGATTTCACCTGCATACACAATCCTGCCCTTTCCAGCTCTCTTGATAATTATATTCCTTACTTGGAAGCGCGAGCTGAAAATGGACAATGAAGAGAGAATATAAATGCATCTGTCTTTCACTTTGCGGCTGTTTTGTCATTTCGTTCTGGTTTAATGCATCGTGAGCGACGTGACGTGACTGAAGATTCCCAGCAGAAAGGGATCAGCAGAAAGCGCTCAGTGTTAACTCTGTCAGCTAGGAAGATAAAATGGGGAAAGATACGGTGAGCGGCGCTGACGGCGACGTTTAGACACAGTTAAAACATTCATCTGGGCTCAGGGGAGGCACCTAAAGCATCTCTTGTATAGGTACAACCTTTACTCCCTTTTGTTTGGTCCTCTTACAAAAGAAATACTAGTCCAGGACCACGTACACGAACCAGCAATCCCAGTGCTTTCAAGCAAGCTGGTCTGTTTTGGATCGCCGTTCGGGAATGGCGCTGGAAAAGTCTGGGGTCCCGTGGTATAAGGGGGAAAATAATTGTGACTGTCTCAGGTTCTGAAGGGCTTGCCACTCATCCAAAGGCAACATGCCTCTAAAATACAAGAAGAAAGGAAGAAAAAAGAATAATCTCAAGACAGCCAAACATCAGAGAAATCTTGGTAAGGAAGAAGTGCATCTTCCCTCCTCCTGCCTCCAATCAGGAATTCCCAGAGCGGCTGTGAAGCCGCCCGTGTCCCCCCTGGCAGGGGGTGGGTGACTCCTCCACCGCCCTTCCCCACGGCACCGGTGGCTCCTCTCGGCACCCAGCTCCGTCCCCTGCCACGGGGACACGTCCAGCCCGGGGGCAGGGAGCTCAGGCCTGTTCGCTTTGCACCACACAGCGTCTCCCCGCACCTGCAAGGGCCCCGGTTCCTCGCTTGCTCCCACCTGCCTCTCCAGACCTTCCCATTCTCCCGCCTCTCGGAGGTCCTCACGTCCCATCCCACCCGCCACGCGGGAAGGGCTCCCCAGCGCGCTGCCTCGCAGCGATTTTGGGGGCCAGCTCTGTGCGGCTTTGCACCCACCTCTTCCAACTCGTGTGCATCACACACGTTTTTAACCGTTTCACCGCCTTCTCCTAGTCCTTTTGCAGCCGAGTGGCGACAACTTGGCCATACTGCCCAGAGAGAAGGGCACCTCCTGCTGAGGAGGTGTCCACAGGGATGTCCTCCAGCTGCATGACCATCATCTTCTTAATTGTTATCCACATTAAGTGATGGTAAGGACTCCAATAAAATCCATCCAGCTACAGGGGGTGAAATACATTTGGTTTATTTCTTTCTAAAGTTTGTACATATACATGTATCATATACATATGTGAGATCCTTCACTGGGGTCGCTCGATTTCAATTACATAAAAATTATTAGGAAGCTTGCAGGCTCTCTATTGCCCGTAAGCGACATTTATTCCAACTTATAAAAACACAGAGTAACAGAGTAATAGTCAGGAACATGGACACAAGAGAAGTCTACTTTATATCTCACAGTTTCAATACAACAGAGGCAAGTTATTTGTTTCTATACCATAGGCTTACTTTATCAGCAATGATAAAATAGAAGGAAATATTTATATACAGTCACCTCAAGTGAAAAATAAAGCAATGTAAACTTAAGTTCCAAAATATTATTTTAAATGATATAAGAATATCCCCATGAGTCCTTTTCCCTAGGGAAAAAAGGACCTATTAAGTGCCTTCATTTGTCAGGAAAAGATCATTCTAGTACCAGTTACATGAAGTAGAACAGGGGATCCAAGGGCATCCTGTGGTACCTGTAGAAAAGAGTGACAGCTCTGCTTCAGGAAAGCATCTCTGTGTACGCAAGTGTTATGTTCCTACGGACATCAGCAGCACACGGAAACATCTCCCACGAGCAAGGGCGACTTCAGGCCTGCACAGCCCTGGCTCTGGCCGCTGGGGAGGAGCGCGCTTTTCTGGCCAAGCACGTTCCCAGGGCAGAACAAGGCGCCCTGGGGGTAGGGTAAGTGCAAACCTGAGACAACGACCACCACAACAGTCAGAGCAACGGCATTTATGCTGCTGGAGAAGACTTGGTGGTTATCTCCACGCTGCTTTGCAGCAGAGCAGGAAGCTACCGCAAAGCAGCGAGACCAGGGCTGCCTCTCTGGCGCGTTGCACTAGGGACACTCCAGCAGTTCGGCCACGGGAGCAAGCCCAGTTCAGGGAAACCAGGCAGAAAGTTGCTGCATTGGCAGAAGAGACAGGAGGCCGGCGAGAGGAGCGGTCCTGCAAGGGCTGCAAGGGCTCCAGGGCTGCATTCGTGAGCCGGGGCGCAGCGGCGCGCCGAGCTTGCTCCGACGGCCGAGGTGAACCGCGGGCCGTGCAGGTTACGGCTGCGGGCAGGAACCCGACCCTCGCGCCTTGCTGCCCGTTCCCCGGGGTAGTGCAGACACGGCGCCGCACTGGCTGGAGCGTCACAGGAAAACCCACTGGGTTCCCTTATGTCTCTATTCAGACCAGCAGCTTGTTAAGGTTGTCTAAGCCTCCCTAGATAAACCTCTGGGAGGGATTTGAGATGCCCAAGGGAGACATTTCAGTCCTTCTGTTCTTCTTTTCCTTGCTGATGAACTGAACAGATTCTTCTGGAAATATGTACAATTGCAGGAAAAGAAAACCAAAAACTCACTTGCTTGATTATATCAGCAAGAGACATCACAGGCACCTGTGCTGCTTGGACAGTCTCAGACATGGTGTCCCCTTGCTGAATATTCACCGAGCGAGGCAAGAATTTTCAGAAATAAACCCTTTTTCCTATGGATTCCTATGGTGCGATTTTCAGAAGAAGTCTGCATGGATGGTCACAGTGCAGGCAACAGCTGACGTAAATGAAGAGAGAGTTAGCCCAAAGCTGAGCAAGCAGCAAACCCTTGCGGAGAATCTCAAACGCAGTTAGATACTGCACTTTAGGATGTGCAGCAACAGGCAGCCCCCGCTGCATGACACACAGACAGCAAGGGAGCTCAAGGGATATGCAAAATCTGCAAGAGCTCTGATGACTGCTTAACTTAATCCGAGACCTACAACAACAAGCATCTTACCAATGCTAACAGCTGCTCAAGTGCTTGGCTTGGAAACAAGCCTGGGAAAGGAACGACAGATCTTGTAGTGCTGAGCCACAGAAGCCACACCATACCTATGAAGCACATACACACATCTATAGGCATCACTTGAACACATTTACCAAGTAATGTAAGCCTCAGGTTGTTTACCTCATGAGAAAAGCAGTGATTTCAAAGTTCTCAATCTGCCAAAAAAAAGATCTGTCTTTTTAGCCAAGTTATAGCCCCATCCTTCAGGTGAGAGGACATAGTTGACATGAGTATGCTCAAAAAAAAAAAAAAGGAAAGAAAAAAAGGCAGTTCTCATCCTAGAGTTTCTCAGGATTTGACAGCTCTAAGCATGAGGCTTTCGTGGTGTGTAAGCTATTTGAGACTTTGATCAGTGATAAAGTTTGTCCTCTGAAGCCACCTGGGTGGCTCCCAGTGTTACAAGTGATACGGATGGGATACCGCAGACCTCCCTTTTCCCAGTCAGGGGCTGGGGAAGCCAGAAGAAGATTTCATGAGGGGAAGCCAGAAGAAGATTTCATGACAAACTAATCTCTGCAGCAGCTTGGCTACTTGCTCTACAATTAAACCAGGATATTTATTTAGCCCAAGGCAAAGCTGAAACCTTGCCTACTGGCATAAAAAGCAACTTCTTTTAGTGGTCTCACTAACATGAGTTCAATGCAAGACTAGTGCCATACAGTGACTACTAATTACAAGAGGTTGTGTCAGAGTAAAGTCCTGCCCTTTTAATTTGTAGCACTTTTAATCTCTTCATTGGTAAGTAGTACACTTCTTTACACTTGGTCCAAATAAGCCTCTGGCCGGTAGCCCAGATGATTCTTAGTACAGATTTAACAACAGATGCCATGGGAGATCGGGTCCCTCAATGTTTAAAAATTTATAATTTTTGCAGAGTACTTTATTGCTCAAAGGGGAGGACAGATGCACTTCAGGCTGGTGTAAATTTGCTCTTTTTGACCATGGGAGCAAAGTTAGGTCAATGGTGTGGTCCTTGGGAAACCTGTTGCTTGCATTTGTTAATTATTTATGAGAGCGCTTCCCTTAACACAAAGCCTCAATGCAGCTGACAAAATGAATGAGCAAGGTACCTTCCCTCTGGGCTGAGCCTGCCTCCTTTCACTGTTCAGCTGGATGTTGCAAACAGGAGAGCAGATATTCACAGAGGATGTCAGGACGTGGTGGGAGACCTCTGAGAGAAAGGAGAGGCCAGGCATAGTGCACAGATATGCGTTAAAAAATATCCCCGTTAAGTATAGGCTGGAGACCAGCTCTTCCAAAGAAAATTTCTGAGGCAACCTCTTTGGCTTGCCCCTCAAGGCAGCCTGGACAGCAGGCACCAGGATCAGGTGCTGAGGCGTTTTGGTCATGCTCAGGACTTCGAAACTGCCCTTGTGGGGAGTTGCGAGGCCCAGGAGCGCAGGGAGAGCGATGCCAGGTGGCTTCTAAGCACGTAGCAGATGGGAAGGTGGTTTGAGACAGGCCATTCACGCCACCTTTGCCTCTGTGGAAGCAGCCAATGTTTCTGGTTGTCTCCAAAGGGCGCCCATCCCAAGAGCTCCCCAAAAGGCTGCAAAACCTGGCTGGCAAGGTCTCTAGCTCCTGGCAAAGCAGTTTCTGCATTTCGGCACGCACGAAAGGAAAGAGACCTGCTGTGCAGAAGCACCGAGGTGCTAGGATGACAGACAGGAGCAGCCTGACAGAAAGGAGGAGGAGCTGTGAGACTAACTGTGGCAAGGCCAAAACTGATTTGGCGATGGAGAATGCAGACGTGGTACTGCTGGGTGCCACCAAGAGAGGAAAAAACCTTCCCTATTTTCCAGAAGAGCATTGCAGGGCAATCCCTCCAGAAACTCCACAATACTCTGGTCACCTCTGACCTTCCCCACTGCCGTGACCATCTTCCAAAGACAGAGACTCCTCTGAGCGAGCAGGAGGCCCTGCCGCGGAGGTGGGAAGCTCCCCTGCTTTGAACAGCAGCCTCGGTGCAGGAGGGCGCGCGGGGAAGGCCCCACGACGCGCAGGCCGCGCGGGGAAGGCCCCACGACACGCAGGCCGCGCTAGGCCGCCGGAGCCACCTGCTGCTCGGGGGTTCAGGCTGGCCGTCTGATCTTCCCACATCCCCCCGCGCAGCCCCCGAGCAAGGAGAAGCCCCTGGGCCCGGCGCCGGAGCGCTGCTGCCTCACGAGCAGAGCGCGGCTTTGGCCCTGGGGAGCTTCCCCCTCGCCCGGGCTGCGGGCAGAGCGAGGGGGAGGCAGCTTTGTGCTTCTCCCTGCTCTCGGGTGAACTGTGTTTGTGTACAGAGGCCCGATGGAGGCCTCTTCTCCCTCAGCAGCACTGAGAGGAGCTTCTACAGCAAGGAGCAATCTTCAAAGCAAGAGCGGCCCCTCTGGGCCCCATACTGCTCCCTTCCTCACCGCCACGCAGGGATGCAGCTTCCCGGGGTCGGGAAAGAGCACAGGGGAGGACCGAGCACTGCTGAAGCAAAGGCTGCCGTGGTGGCTGCGCACAGGCTCCGTGGTGGCCCTGCCAGCACAGCCTAGAAAGAAAATCAGGATTCTCAGGTATCACACAGAGTTATCTGGCATGTTCTCCTCTCCAAACCCATCACCAATACCTCCTGTAGATCTCCCCACCCTTGGCAGCACCGTCGGAAAAAAAAGAAATGACAGTGCTGCTTGGTGGACGACCTTGTCCTTACGGTTCTCCAGGAGCCCTGGCCAAGCGCAACGGCGTCTCCTTCCACCCAGGTCCCTCTACCTGCTGACACACACGCTCTGCCCGGGAGCCTGGGGTGCCTGGAGTTCATAAAGCCACCGAGCAAAACGGCATTAATTACAGCCCGCGCAGAACCCGGCAAATTCGGCTAACTAACTTGCACACCTCGACAGTCTCACCTGGGCGCCCTAAACCCAGCCAATACTTAATAGCTAAAAACCGCAGTGAAGAGCTGCATTTGCCAAGCTCATGTGAGACATAAAAAATAGGCCACAATCCGTTTACAAGTATACACGGAAATATAGAATAAATAATGAAAACTGAAAAAATAAATTAAAAAAGAACACATTTGCAGTTCACTATTCAACTTTTTGTACTGCTTCCGATCATCTCCTCCGCAATGACTTTGAAGAAGAATTAACCAGCTTCTGTGCCAAGGCTGCAAACACATTTTGCAGGAATCATTTCCTTTTCAAGCTCAGCGTTTTAACTGCAGTCTAGAGCAGCTGGAATATCGTAAAAGCTGGAAGAAAAGTTAAATGTCACCTCTTTGCACGTAAGAGCACTGCACTTGCATCGCAACAGGCTCTGGGCATGTTCCAGCCTGCCTTTGAAAAGTCCATCTAGAGAACCTTCCTGTAAGGGCCGCAACAGGGTACACTTACCGATGTACACTTCTTTTTTTTGTTCCCACCCCATGCTTTCCATGAGGTGTATAGCAAAGACGGCACATGGTTCTTCTCAAGCAAGTACACTCAGCATTCCCCATGAGATGTTATTCCCCTCGGTGTAACCTCTCTTGGGGCTGCTGTCCACCACCACAGCTGCAGCTAGGTGCTGATCTACCACACGTACGTGAGCGATCCCAGCCATCCCTTGCACACCAAATTTCTTCTCTCGGCGCTCTGCAACCTTGGCTTCAGGTGCAGGAGGCACATCTTCTTCACGAAACTGCCTGGGCGCTTGCTCAGCACAGGCACACACAAGTGCCAGTGCCCCGAAGCTCGGGGAGAGGTGCCTTTCCCCGCTGCTGTCCCCGTTTCCGCTGGGGACCCGCGCTCCTCAGCGACGTTTCTGGGGCAGGGGCTGCGCTCCGGGCAGCACCTGCAGTACGTTTGCTTGCCACATTGCTTGCAGGTCCCATCCCTCTGCTGGAAATCCCGCTGCTCCTGGTTCTGCTGCTGGATGGCAGCGCTGAGGACCGATGAGCTCTGACACCCCTGGCGCCCGGCAGAGCATCATCTCCACCACAGCCAGGGGTCCTCAGCAGGGAGACAAGTTGTTCAGCGCCTGCAGAGGCCCCTCTCTCTTTGGCTGCTCCCTTTGCTGCCCACTAAAATGGCAGTTCAGTAAGCTGGAGTAAGTGACTTGGACCCTCCAGGAGGTCTGGCGGAACACAAACCCGTTCCTGTGGTACGTGTTTTGACAGAGACGTTTGTGTGGCCCTACAACTAGCGGGGTACCTGGAAGTACCAGCACATTTCTTGGTCTTGACTTATCTTTGCACATTGCAAATTATATCCTGCAGGAAGGCTGACCTGAGCCAGGCACAACAAAAAAACTAACAGCAACAATTTTCATCTGATAATTTAACAGAACCTCTCAAGATGCTCTGTGGAAAAGGCCAGCATGGTTATACTATTCTGCATACAAGATGTGTGAGGCATAAAGGGAGAAGAGACCTGTCTGAGCTCACTCAGCAGGCCAGTATCAAACCTGAGATTAAACCCCAGGGTGCTAAGTACCGGGTGCGTGTGTGCTCTCCACAGGGGCTGAAAGCAAAAGGAGGATTTCTGTGTCATCTTCCTAATCCCTGGACGCAAGTGCCCAGGCTGTGGACCACACGAGGAAGTGTGGAGCAAACAGGGGGTTCCGAGGTACGGAAATCTTTAGCCACATTTCTCCCTCTCCATCCTGAGCTCGCCCCGCACAGCCCACGGTGGCCGGTGCCGGAGCTGCGGCGAGCTGG